CGCGCGTCGGTGGGGAGGAGCGGCCAGCCCGGCTCGGAAAGGTCCTTCTGGTGGGTCCACAGCACGCATCCACCTTGCGGGAACTGTCATTTTATTAAACAGCAATTAAAAAGAGTGCAGAGGGCCAGGCAAGGGGCACTGTGCCCTGCCCAACGCAGTACACGCCGAGGCGACCGGCGAGCAGTGGGTGCTGCCTTCGGCCTTGCAGGATGCAGACTTCAAGCCAGGGGCTGCGAGCTTTTGCCCGGTGCTGCCACCAGCAGCCCCGTCCTCTGGGGCTTGGTGGTGACTGGCAAACCAGGCGCTGGTGAGAGTGGGAGGAAACACCCCCTTGGCAGGGCAGACAGGACGTGTAAAGCTGGTATTTGTCTGCCCGAGACGTCCCCAAATGCCCAGTTGTGGAAGAGAGTAGAAACTGCAGCCCAAAGAGGCAGCTCATCCACGGCTACCGAGAACTGGACACCAAACTATTTACACTCAGTTCGGGCACCCTCGCCCCCAGCCCCGATGCAGATGAGCACACCCAGCCGAGAGCAGCAGGCAGCGACGATGCCACACTCCTGCAGCCACAGGGAAAACAAGCACATTCACCCTCCGGAAAGAACAGGCGAGCGGCTCCCTAGAGAGCCCGAGACCCACGCAGGTGAGATGGACAGACAGAATCAGCCCCTGCCGGCGATGAGGGGAAAGAGGGCAGGTGGAGGAGAGCGCTGGCTGGGATTGACGTCTTTTATAAATAAGCTAAAGCTAATCAAAGTCTATTCACAGGGCCAGGGCTCCAAGAAGTTGCTGGCCTCAAAGACGGAACAAGCCTGAAACATGTCTCCAAGCTCGACACAGAGGAGGCCCACGCAGGCCGATCCCCTCCGGCAGGCAGGCACGCTGCTTTGGAAAGGCCTCTAGGCAAGGGACAGGCTCCCCCAGCCAGGACGGAGCCTCCGCTGAGCTATTATATCCAACATCGTGCAAAAGAGAGACCCAAGAGTGCAGCCGCTTCCTCCCAACGCTGCCTGCACACTGAACTGAGGCCAAAACCTGCCCAGGGCATTAGCTGCACCCATCAAGGGGCTCTGCTCATGGCAGGTCCCCGGAGCAGTGCTCCCTGCTGGCTCACAGGGTGCTCTCCAGCGTGTTGTAGTTGTCCTTGAAGCTCTTCAGCTCCAGGAAGTGTTTGGCACGTTTGCTCTTCTGGCTGGAAGGCAGGTAGGTGACCTGAATGGTGGCTGGGTTGGAGACTTCGGGAGAGAGCGTGAGGTCCTTTGCTGCCGACTGGTGCTGCCTCTGGCTGCTGCCTCCCCGCACCTTGGTCCTGCAGGGAGAGGGGCGTTATCAAAGCAGGAGAAGGAGGTGCCGCCCTCCCCAGAGGAGCTGTTCCACCACCCGGTCTGTCTGTCCAACGCGAGGCAGGTCCGTCCTCAGGAGATGCTGAAGCAGCCCATTTCCCAGAGGCTGGGTGTTTGCCTCAAAGCCCCTCTCTGTCCACACCTCCTGCAGCCCCAGAAACCAACATCCCACCCCCGCTACGTACAGCCCAGCAGCGACACTTACATGTTCGCTAGCTCGTTCAGAGCATCCTGGTACTTCAGATATTCTGGTTTCCCAAAGACCTAGATACGAGCAGAAAAGACCCTCGAAACCTTGGCCTGGGTTACGTTGCTACCTCAATCTTGCTATCAGGCTGCAAAGCAGCACCCCGAGCTGCTGCAGAGACCGGGCAATGGCAGGGCTGGCGCTTACCCCAGTGCCGTAACGGGCACTCTCATACCCATCCAGCAAGGTGTCAATCAAGGTCTTGCGAATGCCTTTGAAGGAAGTGCTGGAATTCCTCAGTTCCAGCAGGTAGGCACAGAAGTTCTTTCCTATTAAAGATTTTGGGTATCTGCCTTCTGCATGAAATGGTATTTCTGGAAAATAAAAAGGCACAACAGAACCAGCTGAAGCGCAGTTTAAAATGCCTCTGTTCACCCTACACACCAAGGTAGAGGTTCACAGGTGACTAAATAACTTCCTGCCGTTTCTGCTGCCTCAATTTGCCTGGGCCTAGATGGAGAGATGAACCCAATCCATGTGAACGAGTTCACTTTGTTTCTAAACCAGCTTTGCTGACTGCTTCCTATGCGTTAGCAAAGCGAACCTCAGGCAGCCAGGGCCAACTCCTCGATGGGCTAAGTGACTGCTGTCCTCAGAGGAGGACTTTGTGCTATCAAAAGACTGCTGGGTCAACACACTGCACCCTTATTTTATATACAAATGGTCTCTCTCTCCCCCCCTTTCCCTCCCAGGGCCCACAGTGTGCTCCCTTACCAGACGTTCTAATCGCATCCAGGGCCTTCATCCTGTACAAGTAGTTACAGCAGCCTAGAGGAGACAACGCACAAACTGAAAACTCTGCGCAACTCGGCAACAGGAGACACATTCACACCAGCCTGCTGCTGTAAAGAGGGAGGGGGTTAGGAGTAGAGGAGCAGGGGGCAGAGGGCAGAAAGACCATCTCATATTAACCAGCCAAACGTGCTGTTGCAACGTGACAGCCAACAAAAAAGGCCAGCTGCGCAGCTCAGCACTAAGAGAATGACCAGAGTCACTTGAGTGAGATCTGAGTCTGCTGCAGTGGGAAAAGCACTGGATGGTCTCTCTGGCGTCCTCTGACTCAGCTGCACGTTCAGCAAGGGAGGATACGCAGGCTACCTTGCGTCTCCAGCTGCAGAAGTCTGCTGTCATCCTCGGCTAACAGCCGGGGCTCATACTTGATGTCTTGCACCCTTGACAGTCGAATGTCAATCTCTTCCTTTAAGTCCTGTACAAATGAAGAAACCACCGTCTTGAATTTACAGAGCGCTTGTTTTCCTACAGGGTCACAGGGATGACAGTAGCCAAATCCTGGGGGCCCTCCGGAGTCAATGAGAGGGAAGATCGTTCGCTCTCAAACCACCTGCGCCCCAAGGTGGAAGGCACCCCATTTCGGAGCAACCCCCCCGCGCCAGCTGGCACGGAGGGGGCTGTGGGCCCGGCGAGGGGAGA